ACCGAGACCCCAGCCCCATATCAATCCTGTGGCTACAGGAGCAGGTCCAAGGCTGGGAATCCTGTAACTCCCCTCCTGACTGCTCAGCTCGTGCAGGTTCCCCTCTGAGACACCTCTTCCCCCAACCCTCCCCCAAAACCCTGACCCCACACACCGTCCCGACTCCGAACGATATTGGCCAATCCTTCAGGGTCAAAATCCCGGAACGCTGTCCCTCATGTCACTACACCACACAGAGGGGGACAGCAGCGGTTCAAGAAGGCGGCTCACCCCACCTTCACCAGGGAGGCAATTGGGAGATGGGTGATAAATGGTGGGCCTGTCCCGTGACACCCACATCCCACAAATGAATATAAGCACTGAATAAGGACACCCTAGTCCCTGTGCAATTCACAGCCTTTCACTAAATCTCCCTTAGCACCTCGCGTCCTCAATTTGGGGGTTCAAGATGCACTGTGCAGGCTTGTGATTGTTGGTGTTTTAGTAACTTCCACCAACAAGGTGTGTAATAAACTAAACTATGATCGTGCTTTCAAATCAAACCTTCTCTGCTGGTTTTAGTCATAGAGTCGTACGGCACGGAAACACCCTTCGGCCCGTCCAGTCCGTGCCAACCATAATCCCAAACTAAACTAGCCCCAGCTGCCTGCTCCTGGCTCATATCCATCCAAACCTTTCCTATTCGTGTCCTCATCCAAATGTCTTTTAAACGATGTAACTGTACCCACATCCACCACTTCCACAGGACGGTCATTCCACACACGGACCACACTCTGTGTAAAAATAATTTGCCCCTCATGTCGTTTTTAAAGCTCTCTCCATCCAGCTTAAAAAATGTGCCCCCTAGTCTTGAAATTCCCCCATCCTAGGGCAAAGATGCCTACCATTAACCGTATCTACACCCCTCATGATTTTATAAACCTCCGTAAGGGCACCTCTGAATCTTTTCAAAGTTAGAACGCACCACGAAAAACAAAATCGTTAAATGAATTCCAATTAGTAAGATAAATTCAACATTCAGTTGCTGACCTGCAAACGTAAATATCGCGGTTGGGACGAGAGAAATGATTTCTGTGGGTTATAACGCACCTAGGGTTGTTGGAGGGGCGGGCTCGGTGGGTATAGAATGAAATATTTGAGTTGAACCTCACAGGAGTGGGGATGGAAGTTTGAAACTACCTCTGCCAGTTTGCACACTCTACATCTACCTCCAACAAGCTTCTTGCAAGGAATTTTATCCAGTGCCTTCTGCTAACGGCCTCCCTACCTTCAAGATAGTTACGAGCGAAAAACTTCAGGCATTCATCGAGTAGGATGACTGGGAAAGAGATCTCTAAGACCACAAGCCACTGGGTTAAGGTCAGATGAGTCAATTTAAAGATGAGCTGAATCAGAAAAAGGAGACAAAGAAGAAGCAGTTAGATCTTTTCGAGCCAGCTGTGAGCAGTAATCAAACCCCTCTTACTTCCACTGGGAATCCTGCAGCGGGTAACCCACCTCCTGGCACCACCCCTCCCCCCCGCCCCCAAAGCCTGTCCCAACATCAACAAGGCAGGAGGGGTGAGGGAATACACCCCACTTGCCCTGGAGAGGGGCAGCTCCGACAAACACTCGAGAAGCTTGACACCGTCCAGGACAAAAGCAGCCCTCTCCGTTCCCCCCCCCCCCC